TGAATAAACGATATAGTCGTCTTTGATATTTTTTAAATTTGCTTCCTGCCACAGGGTGTTGACGTCATAACCAGCAAAGTGCGTCATCCGGCCGTCTCCATGGCAACCGACATAAAAGCAAAAAGTGTCAAAGAGGTTGCACGAAGGATGGTGTTGTCGACTTTTTCAGCTGCTTCAGTCCTTTTAGAACTTTCTTGCCTCCGCACGGAGTGTTAGTCATGCCTGGGAAGATGAGATTGATATCATCATCCTCAGAGGAAGAATCGAAGAAACAAGACTCGTCCTCTTCTGACGAAGACTCATCATCATCATCCTCATCGGACGAAGAATCGAAGAAACAAGACTCATCCTCATCTGACGAAGACTCATCATCATCCTCCTCAGAGGAAGAATCGAAGAAACAAGAGGAAGAAGAGGAAGAAGATGACTCATCCTCATCTGACGAAGACTCATCATCCTCAGAGGAAGAAGAACGTCGCCTGGCAAATCGGCTCTACGGTCTGATTGAAAAGAATGAGAAGGGCTCGGTTGCGGATAAGAAAGCACTTGAATTGGTCAACATGCTGAAATCTAAGAAGAGCGATGAGGATGACAGTGATAGCAGTGATAGCGACAGCAGCGACAGCGATGACGACGACAAGAAGAAAAAGGAGGGAAGTAGCGAAGAGGACGACAGCAGCGACAGCAGTGACAGCGATGAAGACGGCAAAAAGAAAAAGGACTGGTTTGGACAAAGCCTGCAGCTGGTGAAGAAGACCCTTACCATGTTGAAGAAAGAGATGGTAAGTACATTTATAACATAAAGGGCAGGTAAAAATCATGGCCATCGTATTGGTAAATCTGGGATGCCAGGCAAAAACTTAATACAATTGCAAGTTACTCATATTGAAATCTTATCTTGAAGTGTACATGTAGAGTTGAGAGAAACACAAAATTGAGTCTATCCGATGTCGAAATTGTACTTGACCAAGCCAACAAAAACATCATTACAGGTTGATATGTAGATGTTACAAATGAATTGCATGTCACTTGTACATGCTGGCTGCGGGAACAGGCAGCAGACAAGGCACGATGGAACGGAACGTCTTTTAAGACTATCGATGTCACACACTGATTTGGTGTGCCAATGACAGTTTAATACCAGTTGGAGCTGTATTCATTTGCCACCAAGAACAGTATATTATTATCATTATTATTATTATATCTACAGGCGAGGCCAGCTCATCTGATGAGGACTCGGACGAGTCCGACAAAGAAGAGGAGCGCAAACGTCTTGTCCAAGAGAGCCTGGCTGTTTATCAGCAGTACCTGAGGGTGAGTTTAAATCTTAGATATAGTATTTCATCTGTGAGCTGCACCCGAATATAGGGCAAAGGTCACCATTTCGCGCCAAGTTGAGCCCCCCTCCTTTTATGAGCGCATCCAAACCAACTGAAAACAGCCTTTTTCTTGGCGTGTGTGGATAAATGCTGGGATGCCAAAATCTTTTTAAAAAATGTGACCCTTTCTCAAGAGAGTCAAGCCAAATTCTTAGGTATAATCATTGATGAACGATTGACCTGGAAACCACATATAACTATGTTAGGTAAAAAAATTTCAAAAACTATCGGTATTATTGGAAAAATTAAACATCTTCTCACTCAAAAAACCATTATTACCATATACAATAGCTTAATATACCCATATCTAACCTACGGGAATATAGTCTGGGGATGCGCCTACAAAACCACACTACAGCCCCTAGTATTACTCCAAAAA